GGGTGGGGAAAGCTGATCCCAAAGTGGGACGGACCGTACGTTATCACGGAGAGACGCGGCGCGGTGTACACGATCCAGAGAGAAGACAAGCAGAAGTGCGTAAACGCTAGTCAACTGCAGAGATGGTTTCAAGATTATCAAGTGTACGAGTCACGAAAAGCACCAAAGAAGACAGCGGTACGGCGATCAGAAAGACTACGACGACAGCTTATTAAAAGGGGGGACGAGTGTGGTACGAGCTACTTATAAGTAGTATATGACGTGAGCGTCAACGTAATGTCTGGCAGCAGAAGATGGGGGAAGATCAAGAAAGGAAGAGTTAGAAAACAATGGAATTTGTATGAAACGCATGAATAGCGAATAGTGGATTGATGTTTTGCAACAGGAACAGTCCAGTTCGATATGATGAACTGATATTTTGCAAATTAACGATTTACCATATGGTTTTCCAATTTTACTGAGTAACTCTGTAATTTTCGTTAAATACAATTCGGTTGCCTCACCTGTGTTCTCCTTCACTACACTAGTAGAGAGAGTTAATTCCGATAAGGTGTACAATAAATAGAGAGTAGACTAGAGACCATTATTTACAATTAACCATTAAACGTAAGAGAGCCTAACATCACAAAAGGAGGGAGGGTGGTGTATCTGACTAGCATTCATGATGGTGGGGCGATAACTTCAATCTACCCATGTCTGTGTGGCAGAACAGGCTCCTAAAGATATAGCAGGATGTAACAAAACAGTGATATTGATGTTACTTTTCCTTGTTAACCTCGTCTACGACTCATGTCTGTAACCTTGCACTGGTTTTTACTTCCTACCGAGAAATCCTATTACAAGCTGGTCTGGACAACTATATTAGAATAGAGCTCACTTATGACTTCTTGAGCTGCAGAGATAAAAAGAAACAGAATAACTAAAATACCACAAAAGCTTTTTATTACTGTGCCTCATTATTATATTTTGTAAATCAACATTATTACTAACAACTTGGTTCTTCTGAATTTCCTCTATTCATTCGACCAACTTCCCATTAGTTATCTCACTAATGAATTGTCTTTATTAACCTACATAAGCGCAGGTGTACAGTTAGTGTTCTGATATTAAAAAAAGTCTGAGTAAACATTCCTTTTTTTATCCATAAATGTATGTGCGAAGCCGTTGTTCGGCTTTGAACAAGAACATTTTCTGTTCCGCTCCTCGTCCCGTTTTCTTTATTCCTCTTTTTTCAGCACCTTATTCCAATCCTCATATATTAGTCTGGATATTTTCAGTAGACTTGGTTACCCTACACAGGAACATGGGAAATCATTAGCTGATGAATATCAACTAGACCTTTGTACATTTACTGCATCGATTCTTGTTATATGCAAACCTGACTTTACCATGAATCGTTTCCCAGTCGATAAGATGATAGTCGTTACGCAACCTTCGTAACTCGCGCCAATTATTGGCATTGTACATTCCATCTTTAGGAATCCAATGAATCTCGTGAAATGTTTCAGTAACTGTATACCGTTTTAAAAGAAATATGTTGCTAATCTTAACAGTTTGATCTTGACTGTAAATTGGCATGTCTCTTGTAACATGTTTGTTATTTGAGAATAAATTATTATTATTATTATTAAAAGCTGTCCTTGCTTTGCCAATCCATGACTTCACATCTACATTAGATCCCCCTTGTTTATTAATGATGCCAATCAGCTATGAAGTGATTTTCACCTCTTGAAGGCTTCTCCGTTGAGTGTGATATCGCTGGTGCACGCATTTTCGCTTGTGTTTGTTGGGAACTACCACTTAAGGGGCTGCTGCTGCTACATAGAACGTATTCTCATGTATTGTTTGCTGTATGGGTGATATTAGAGCTGGATAGTCTGAGTTCAAGTCGTGAAACTGAATCCGATCTTTCCATCATAACTCCTACTTTTCCTTAGATGCTGACGTTTTCGTAATCGAGTTGACCACCAGGAAAAACAGAAAGTGTCTGTGAGATGTCCTCCATATCTACCAAATGTATCAGGAACCTCAGTGCAAGATTTTACAGTTTAATCCATCATAAGATTTCCGAATGATGTTAACTATCTTCCCGGGCACACCATAGTGTTGTCCTGTTCACGTTATCATTTACTTTTTCTTAGTCACTGAAGTCGATGTTGCGATGTGAATGGTATACAGTTGATCCCTGCGGAATCCATCTTGAATGTCTAGTGAGGCTTCTACTCGGTTGGACAACAATCTATTGCAGACTCATTCTGGTATTGACAGTAGGAATATGCATCTGCCGAAACCTCCTTCCTTTGATATCTTGATGAGGCATCCTTCTTCCTAGCCCGTTGATACGTGTTCGTCCTCCCATATCTTGTTGAAGAAAGAATGAAGCACCGTAGCAGTTATCACCATGACTGCTTTCACTACATCAGCAGGATGTTTGTCTGGTCCAACTGCTTTATCACTATTCATTTGTCTGATGGCCATCCTCATCTCTTCAATCGTTCACAAATTACATCAATTAAAAGGTCTTTAGGAGCTGCCTAGTTTTAGGTTTTGTACTTGATGTAACGCCAAACCGCTGTACTGATGACACACCGAACGTTAGACCCCTCCGTTCAAAAATAAGAAGACGGAAGACGTTGGAGGACGCTTATTAACAGAATCAAAGATATACAATCAGACATGCGTATTTATACAATTATATAAATATCGATATTGTCGTTTAAATATTTTGAACATTAATCAAATAGTTCATCAATCCACCATGTGCGTGGCTTTCTTCTCGATTGGCTATCCCAACACCTAGGTATTGGGGATTCCATGATACTGGTATATTCATGAGTTCTTCAAAGTATTCTAGCCGCCCGTTTCCCTGTTCTTGAATGTCGGTCATTGCTTTGTCTTCATTGCTCGTCAGTGGTCCTTCTAATTTACTGTATTTTTCAGCAAGATAAAGTGATCTTTCATTGCGCCATCTATGTTCGTCGATGTGTCGATATTACAGATTACATTCACTAGCCTTATGCCCTTGTCCGACGAAGCATAAGCCCTTTCTCTTTGCATGAGACCATCTATCTTGAACTGTGAGCGTTAGAGGCCTCCATCATGACACAATCCTCAATGAGTGATCTTGCTTTACTTTGACAGTAGTTTATCAAACAGATCAACAGCTGGCTATCGTAACTGACTCTTGATTCTGAGTAAGTCTCGAACTGCCTTACAAACTTCCAATACTCTCTTAGTTGTCCATCGAAATAACTCAACTCAACCTTTGGTAGTTCTATACCTACAACTGACGCTATAGGCGTTACTTTCTTGTCAGATACTTCAAGCTTCTCTTTTAAACTAAGATTTTTCATGACTAGAATTACTATCATGATAATTATCCCTATTTTAGGGTGGGCTATGACACATAGGAACATCAAAAGGCACTTGCCTTATAACAGGGGATTCATCGTTCGGTTTGTCTCCTTGACTCCAGACGAGACTTGAGCTTTACTTTCTTTGACGAGCGTTCGGCATCACATAATATCTTCAGAACCGATAATTGAAATCCAAGAAACGTTAGACAAACAACTTTGATCCATTGGTATGGTTTAGAGCTGTAGGATCCAAAGTGAGGTTTGGACTGAGGAATAACTGTCTAGTTAGTTTAGATATGCGTCTTGCCCAGCTGAATTAAAAACAAGTGATTTGGGTAAATGACGGTTCTAAACAATGTTGCCACTCAGCTATTCCACCAACAACTGTTCAATTATTCAAATCAGCTACAAAAAATAAATGTTATTCTATCCTTTCTGGATAGATCAGATTCCTTCCAAAGATAATATTTGGTCGCAATATAACACAAAGTGTTTCCTATTCTGGAAGAGTGCTTCAATTCACAATCAAAATGTACAGTTCCAGTCCAAGGAAGCAACACAATCTAAAGAAGAACAAATCAATATGGATACCACCATGACTAAGTATCAACTTCAACAACATAATGCAGTTAAGAAAGAAACATAAAAACTCAGTAAAGGCAAAAGAAATAGAAATTGTAATAAAATATAAATATTATCATCTGAAAATGGAATGGAACATAATAACCAAAATGTACAACTGAAGGAATCGATAAGGACAGATTACGAATGAATACATGGAGGGATTTTCACGAATAAACCCTTCAAAATTTGATCATATAATTGTTGCATTTTTGACTGTTTGGTCTAGCATGTAAACATGAGTGCTATTAATAATGATTCTACTCGTCCCGTACTGACCAAAAAGTTCACCTGAATTTTTTGATTTACGTAGTATCTCTAAAATAAATTTTAACTTTCATAAAGCTAAAAACTTATTGATACATTGTATGCTTATGAGGACTTTCCATTTATTTTTTACCCTCGTACTTGTCATCTTCGTCGATGCTCACTATTTTCTCACAACCATCTTATCATTTACTTGTTGCCTTCGATATTCTACTGAGACTTCTGCACCCCAGTTTCTACTTGAACACTCCTTCAGATATCCTGCCACTGATCTATTTTTATTGATGAAACAGAAGGCGACGTAAGGTCCTTCCCTTGTTTGTTGAAGAAAACAGTGATTTCCTAGGTTGAAACGGACAGGCACGAATGGCACCTACGAAAGATGACCTAGCTGGGCTATCGCCGGTTGACATCATTACAACTTCGAACTAGTACTTGGTGACCGATTAGATGCTGTAAGTGATTGTATCATTAAACCGTCCTTATTTCTCATGAAACACTGTCTCCAATAGATGTAATCACGTAAGCATAGCCTGGTGTAGGAGGTCATCGTAAGGTTGTTCCACCATGTATTTTGTAAATATATATTCTTTTGAACAAATATTTCAATATATTTATTATTTCTGAATGAGCTTGTATGCATTGATTGACCTATTTTGACTTATAAACTTTTCAATTAAAATTGAACCTGTTTTATGTTAGTTTGTTTTTCTTCACTGTGTTAGTAGCGCCATTTGACGATTTGTCACGCTTGTGATGGCTCCAACCGGGAAGTCTGCTGCGGGGTGCAAGAAAGCTGTAGTCTTAACTTTAGTTCCGTTCTTATGTTTCTAGAAAGCCTTAGAGTCTATCAACAGCTGCTTGGCCTTGGTTATGAAAAGCGGGAAATGTTCTATTGGGTTACGACAAACTCTTCGTCTCCTGCGTAAAGGTGGAGCAAGACTGATTATTATTGCAAATAATGCCCCGCCTCTAAGGTACGTAATGTTGCTTCTGTCTGAGCCCATATTGCGGTTACGAAGACGCACAAAATAATATTCCACTTAAACTATAGATACTAATTGTAGCATGTTATTAAATCATATATAGAAAAACAGAAATCGAATATTACGCGATGTTGTCAAAGACTGGTGTTCACCACTATAATGGAACAAACCGCGATCTTGGTACGGCATGTGGCAAGTATTTCAGAGTCAGCACACTGGCCATCGAGGATCCAGGTAAGATATATTTAAATGGAGACAATATTTTACAGGTGACTCCGACATTATACGATCTGTACCTCGTGATGCAGAACAAAAGTAAATTTGCAATAAACCAATTCTTTTCATGGATAATTCGACTTCTTGATAAAGACTGCATAGCCGACTAACGTGCATGGTTAATGCAGGAGTTATTCCGATATATCCAAGTATCAAATATTGATATGCGATTGACATTTTCGCAATATCTATATTTGTAAGTTCAATCGTTAGTGATATGCATGATTTTGGGACCAAGCGCTTTGTCTCTAATGCGTTATAACATGTTTTGCGTTAGTACGTCCAGGAATCGCGGTTCAGTAGTAGATCTGACGAGATCCTACTGTCTATCTATCTATTTGTAACGACTAAGTAATACTGCAATGGCTAGATATCTTAACTCAATAGCATGAAGGGACAATTATTCTATACAAAGACTCAGCGTTAGGACGCAATGCAAGGTAGTCTGTAATAGCGCTGGTATCGTACCGTAATATGACGAATTGTAAAACCGCCCTCGACTTCAATAGATATGTTTCAGCAGTAAATCAGTGAACGTAGTTAAATTATCATCGATCTTCCAAACCAAAATAAGTCTTTGTATGTCATACTGCACTATCTACGGCGAGTGCCTTGCGAAATTGTAATAATGAGTCCTGACTCCTTTTTTATGAGATGACGTTACGCTCACATGATTACGTTCTTTAGGAGACAGCAGCCTAGGCTCAATAAATCTTTGAAACAGGGTGTCCGGTATATCTTAAGCGAGTGTACAGCTGGCTTATCGTTTCCTATTATATAAACCAAAAGCTTTCGCCATTTACCCAATCTGAAATTTTAGCCATATTCGAGTGGATAAGAAACTTGGGTGGATTAGGAATCCTGTTTCAACTTCCATTATTCTCATATTACGTGTAGTCTTGCTGGTTCTTGAGTTAGTCCAATGGTGACCACTGACAGGGCAGTTTCCCTTTCTAATATTATATACATATATTTACAAAATGCATGGTGGAACAACCTTACGATGGCCTCCTACACCAGGCCATGCTTACGTGATTACATCTATTGGAGACAGTGTTTCATGAGAAATAAGGACGGTTTAATGATACAATCACTTACAGCATCTAATCGGTCACCAAGTACTAGTTCGAAGTTGTAATGATGTCAACCGGCGATAGCCCAGCTAGGTCATCTTTCGTAGGTGCCATTCGTGCCTGTCCGTTTCAACCCAGGACGTCGCTGCGATCATGAGTAGTCACAACACCCTTAAGATGGTGCGTTTAAAATTTATGCTATGAGCGAAGCTGAGTAGGTAGCGCTAGATAACAAGTTATGATGGCAACACTGTTAAGTGCTGAAAATATTTTGTTCTATGCAATACTGGAGTCTTACTGACCGTGTATTTGTTTGAATAAGTAAACAGTTTAGGTTTACCATCAGCTCTTGAAGGAGGTTGGCAGATCACCAACCATGAGCAGACTTCATTGCGGTGCTTACTGCCTGCTGGTGGTATGCTCAAGACTTTTTTCTATAGGGTTACTCATTGACATGTCGCGTGTCCCTATCGTACAGTTCAACAGTCTAGTCGTAAATTTCTCATTCTGTAAAACACCGAGATGGTTATTTTTCTGTGATAGATTGATGAAGCAATCTACTGGATTTGATTCACAATAATGATTGTCCTATGGAATCACTAACAGGCCGAGCATTTGTGAGATTCACATACACTAGTTTGTTTCACTGTTTGGTTTTCGATTGCCAGGTGTTATAATAATAATAATCAATCTTCGGACTATTCTCACCAAACAATGATTGTTTACATGGTGTAACTTATTTCTGGAAGCGCATATGCCTTGGTGATCTTGCTTTACGATGGGTGATATTGGACTACACTGTTGTGAATTGTGTCTTTTGTACAACTGATAGTCATAGTGTTCTCTTCAGTAAGCGTAATTGTAGAATACTAATGATGTGCAGATGTTATACGTCCACTTCCTGCACGGGTTAAGTACCATGGGATCTTCCAAAGAAAGGGACTTGAGCATCACCCATGCGATACCTTTTTGTATCCACGGATTGGCGATCTAAAGTCCACAAATAATGCTAACTCTTGAGTTTTCTCCAAAATATCACGTAACCTTCCATCCTACCAGCACAAAACTGCCATCAGTGTTTACTTAAAACCTTTAAAAAGATATCTTGAAACGTGTCTAGAGAGGAGGGACTAGGAAGATAGTTATACCACAGTGAGATATGTTCTAATTGTTCACAGGTATTAGGCTTGGAGCTCGAGCGTGTGGGCATAGCCTTAATGGATAGTTCATTCATAGTCGTAATGACCATTAATAGTTAATGTTATATAGAAGCTATTCAGACGACTTGGGACTAAAATATTTGAGTCGGGAATCTGTCAAGCTGAGTAGCTCCGCTAAAAACGCAGAATAAGTGGTTTGATCTGCACAACATTAGTGTGTTGAGCGGCACTCGACCCATCAAGAATGATTGTAAAATGGGAGTAAGTAATCACAGCCTCAACGAAATCAATGTGAAAGGGAAGGGTTATATTTGTGGAAATTACTAACTACTGAGAAACCATCTATTACGTTTGCAAACAAAATCAAGCTAAGTGAAGGCTTGTGTGTTCTGGGACAGAGGAGCGAACATAGTCAGAAACACTAAGACTTTTAATTTTACTTTTGAATAATTGTCAAAATATTGAATTACACTAGTAACTCGTAAATAATATGAAAACGTTTTATTTAATTTTGTTGCGTGGTACATGATGGTAAAGCTTCTGTTGTAAAGTGAAAAGGTTGTTTCATATTGCGTCCAGTTAAATAGCGAAATTTCGATCTTCATGAAGTAAATGTGATAAATTCAGATCACCAGCAGTTTTCCGTTTGTGTATTCTGTCTTCAGACAGTAGTAAGTTTAACTAGCGATAGTACCGCTAATCTTAAATGCAGACGGTTTTAGATTTGAGTTCTGTGGTAATGTTTGGACCCCGAAACACTCAAGATGATAGTTTGAATTTCCCGAGACAACTCGACGTGCTTCTTGACATCCGGCATCTGGTACAATCGGCCTTCCACATGACGCACATCTTGGCGCGTATCGTTTGTGAAAATCAGTCAAACAATGAAGTCGGCCGTGAACATCAATAGTGAAAGGTCGAGAATCTAGCCTACCCGCGCATACTACACAAACAAAGCAGTTGGGATGATATGGCATCCCAAGAGCGTGAACTACTCTGTCGCCTATGGGTCTATGACAGTTTGAACATGCTTCAACAGCTCCATCTCGTACACAGGCTGGGCATAACAAACGTCTTAGATTGTGATAGTAGGCATCTGACTTCAGCGGGGCAGCGCAACGATAGCATGAGAAGCAAGCTACATGAAGTCTTACACCTAAAGCACCTGTTAATGTCACAACATTGTTTGTTGAAGTTAAGCTGCCACTTCCTTCTGGAGGAATAAGTGAGCGACGACATCGGAAGCATATGTTTTGACCCGGAGTTGCACTTGTGGTTTCACTACAGTTACACATGCTAGAAGCTGACTCAGTGGGAGAGTTTGTTGATGAGCTGCCAGTAGTTGAAGCAGAAGTGACCGCTGTTGCCAGCGGACTACCCCGACCACCGTTCACATTACCCCCAGCATTAGAACTCAGACCTGAATGCTGTTGTAAACGTCCGAATTGAGAGTTGAGACCGCTCCCGCGTCTTAGGCTCCCAGCTATTAGAGAGAACAAAAATGGCATATGTTAGTTTTTAGCCGACGTACAAATTAAACTGCCTAAATGGATAGGTCCCGAAAACTGTTATGGTTGAGATTTCTAAACTAATTTAAGACCGACATTCTGAACAATCGATATTAGGGTTGGCTATTTTCCTTACATTCGTACGTAAATCTGTTGATTTCACAAGGTCTTTTATTTAATTCAGCAATTTCTATTATTTAGAAATACGAGGTAAAAATTGTCGGTGTACCTGACACCTAAATTTTCTTCAGGCTTCTAAACGTGAAAGCGACGATACCAGTTACAACCTTTATTGTTCAAGTATTTAGATACCAAACAGCACTTCCTCAGTTCACATCCTATCCCCGGGAGAAGTGGAGATCTGTGGCAAGGAAAACAATCATATCGTTTATAGTTGCAATATTTGGTTGCAAGAATTCCGAACTCAGATGAGGTATGTATTGATATGCATCCCCAGATACGTTATTCTGATGAATTTCAGTAAACACAAGATACTGATCCATACCTACGGCTATTAATTTGATAGTGTGTGACACTAGTTACTTGATTATACATTATCCTGTTACGTTTTGTTGTTACTGGAACTATAACTAATTTTAGGAAATACTCAATCATCACAAAAAAGTAAGTTGTTTTAACCGACATTAAGAGTGAAATTGCAAGTTGATGACAATCATTGAACAGTGAAAGCAAGATACCAAAGTTAATGCATATCATTCGATATATTTCTTGGCATGATCATTGTACATGAAAAAAATATGACTGAAATATATATATATACATATATATATATATATGTAGAGAGAGAGAGAGAGAGAAAAAATATATATATATAAAATGGTCCATCTAATTAAGACTTAGTGTTTGGAATATTAACAAATAATCAGAACGCAATAGAATTTACTGGGATTCGCGTATGTGCCGTTTATTCAAACTATTATTTTTCTTAAAAAACAAACACGTTAAATGTCCGGCGAACAATAAAGGTACGAAATAGTTGACCTTTACTGCCGCCGATTGGTCGCAATATATTTTAAATTCTCATTTGAGAAACCACTAAAAAGTTAAGATTATGCGGTATATATTTTCAGTGTCTAAATTAAACTAGGAACCCTAACTCCAGACTCAATATATTCAAAACTTTGTACATGTGACTTAAAAGAAATCCACTACATGCTATTTATTTACTTCAAGAGGATTATGCCTTATGTTTCAATGCATTCTTAGGGAGCATTTTCGATAAAGTCAAGTTTTAGTGACCCGATATTCTTAGATTACCTGTTAAATATGAAAAAATGGCCCTGGTAACTGCAAAGAAGGCTACACGGTGTAAGGTTTAGGCATTTATTTCTTTTAGGAGTTGGAAGCACACTGATAAAAATGGAAGGGTTATATATATATATATATATATATATATATATATATATATCAGCAATCTTTAATTAAAAGTTGACACTGTTTAGCTAGTTAATAAGTGAACATATTATTGAAGCCAACTGTTAAGTCCATGAAAACACCGACTGTTAGACTGTTAATCTAAATAGAGCCTTATTTTCTAGACGTTGATGCTATGATTCTCATGGACCAAATTGATATCTTATTATCTATGTTAATTAATCCTCGTAGAAACTTATATCAAATAGTAAAGTGCATAACGATTCAATTGGCGAGGATATATCAATTTATTTGGAACAAACAAGAAATAAAGGCATAGATTTGAGCCAGTCAGTCAGCTACTACATATAACTTGGTACGTACATACACCAGTTCAAGTTACCATACAAAATTAGCTCAACGATGGAATTTTCAACTCAAAACCCATAGTGGTAGAGGTTGTTGTAGTATTAGCAGTAATGGCGAAGACTATGGATGGAAGGTATGTTTCGAGAAGTATAACTCAGTGAAATAAATTGAAAAAGAGACCGATCAAGGTGGTGACGAATTCATAAGATTAAAATTTTCAAGAAGACAAAGAGTGGATGCATCTGCACAGTTGCAGGCGACTTTAAGCCATTTAATTTAAAGTCTTCAACCACCGGTCGCGAATGTCTCACGGGCCCCAACCTAGTAGTCTAGACCTATAAACATAGCTCATTTCAGTTATCAGTGACTTCATGGCTTTGTGCCATGTTTTGGTTTGACAACCCCTACATCAGACAACATCGCTCGTTGAGGCGGTCGGTAGTTAGGCATACGTAACATATATCCCAACCACCTCGGTTGATAAAGATTCACTACTTAATCAATTGATTTGTCATCCTGATCTAGTATCCCGTTCTTAACAACAGCATTGCCTAATTGCTGGTCCCAGGATGTACAATCGATGATTCGAAGACACTCATGAAACAATACTGGTAACTAAAAATATCCTCAACTCTAACCAGCCATGTTTCATGCCTGCAAAGTAGAACGGAGCGAATCGCAGTGCAGTAGCATAGATTGGAACAGAAGGATTCATAACTCTCCATATATTCATGAGAGTCTTTGATTCATAACTGTTGAATCGAGGCCTACTTTACCGAACAAAGACGCTTAGACCAGATGGAATAAGTGATTCATTTGAATAGGGCAAATGTATACACACTATCTTCAAACTACTATTTGCAGAACAAGCGTACTCTTCGCTGCCTTTTTCCACATACCTTCTATTCTTCAAAACACTGATCGCGATATACACCCGGATCTGATACTCTTCAATTCAGCAGTAACTGCTGGACGACACTTCACTGCATGTCCACTGCATACTACTGATAAGGCATGCTGAGAGTTGTATACGCCACACCATTTGCTTTCTTACACTTCAGCATGAGACGTATAGGTTTGAATTGTGGCTTCGTGGCTAATAGGACAAATGCCCGAGCAAGTGCGTAGTAGCTCTATGATTGATTATTTAATTTCTTCATTTATTTTATTTATTATTTGATCATTTTCACACAGACTATTTCCTAAAGTTGACAGAAAGCGCTTCAAATGTTAAATATATTTAAGTAGGCCTACTGGATTGAGAGGTAAGTCAGAAAATAAAAATTAACAGATATTATACGTAATACTCGAAAAAACTAACCTGGAGAAGAATTGACTCCGTCTGGTGCAGGAGTTAATGTCCCGCTAGCGCCAACTGAAGACATGGATGATCGAGTTTCCATGCTTTGCATTAGGAGATTTGTTAGAGCATCGACTTCGGCTTCTGGATCTGAAGGTGGTGGAGCAGGTCGAGTTACTGTCCGATTGCCAGTAGTGAGAACTGATGAAGTTCTAAATGTAGGGGATTTAGTACACTCGCCATTATCAGTTTGTGGAGCATTTGGTGTATGATCTAAATTTTCAGAAGAATGAGAAATCATATCGTATGAACTTGATGAAAGGGATCCTCTAGAAGCACCTAAATGAACAACTGGTATTACAATCGACTGACCAATAGTGCTTGAGCTACTCCCCTGGGATGATCGTCCAAGAGACCCAGGTTTGTACCAATAAACATTATCGCGCTCCGAGGAACTTCGCATTGGATATAGTTGTGATGCCTTTATTAGCACAAATGAATAACGTGGAAATTATTTTATATAGAAGGCAAATAGTTTGGTTTATCCTGATTCAAAAATCCATACTACGATCAGTCATAGTGAATTCATAAGACTAATAATATACTCCTGCACAGTATTTCAACAATAAGGGTCGTTGTTGAGATTCTTCGACTATTCTCTTAACTTAAAGCACCTAAAAATATAGTGCCCTTATGATAGCTTTTTTTAGTTTATAGTTATCTCAAAAATCTGTCTGATGTCAAATAGTGGATATAATCATTCAACTCCAAGTACCATGATACTTGAATAGCGAAGAATGATTTGATGAGGATCTTAATTCTATCACTTTTCTGGTTTATATGGTTACCTACTTATTTACTGGCTGATAAATTTGGATTATGTATCGTTACATGACAATATACACCAAGATCTTAAAAATTGTCGTAGTCCTAATAGAATTAGGAATTTATATAACGCCTTTTAAGAAATCAAACAACCGATCGTAACGTTTTCTTGTCAGCAATGTTTTTTTTAAATTTAGACATGCAGAATGACTGGTTGAAGCGCTTGACTTGCTTTAATATGATCCTTTAGAATGTTAACGCTATCTAGCTTGGTTCGGTCGTGAAGATGAGAACATAATTTACATTGATAGGGACCCTTTATTCAAATAATCTCTAAACAGTTAGCACTGAATATCAATATTAAAACTAACTTATAAATCAATCTCACTTGCGCATAGTGTGGAGCATCTGTTGATGAAATTGGTACAACGGGGTGACGATACCGACGTTCACTCTGTGTTCCTGTCATCCTTGGTCCCGCCCGCTCATTGAAAACACTATCCAGCCTATAGAGGCTATTTCCAGAACCGAACGAATGATGAGACATTAGGAGCTATTATAATGAAAATAGAGAGATAACAGTACTGTTCGCTAAAATTAGGTCAACAAAATGGTTACACTGGAATATCCATTTTCAGATTGGCAAAAATAGTTCTTATTGGTCGATAGAAGTAACGAAGTCCTTAAAATGGATCTGATTGGTTAATAATTCTTTACCAAATGACCTTGGCATGTTGTCTGTAATGTTGTAATTATGTGAATTGAAAAAGTAGACATACCAAAACCTGCAATGTGTTTATAATCAATATATATCCACCAACTGTGCAGAGAAAATCGATAGTGAAAATCAGTTAGATTTTAAACGATTTTTTGTAATTGGAAAACGGAGAGGAAATTATCATTTTCAACTGTAGTTTGGATCTTCTCATTGATCAGTATTTTGGTGTATGTGTGGATATTGCCATTAAATCACAGGCACTATCAGCTGAGCTGGAATCCAAGATGTGCGTTTTGCTTAATTTGGCACTCTTCAGCTGGACGTATCTACTCATTTTATCTTCAGTCCTTGTTCTCACAAATCTTAGACTGCTTATTCGATGATAAATGAAACTATTCATCCTAATAAAATAAGAGCTTAAGTCACCTTGAACTAAACATAACTACAGAAATGGAACTACTTCATTTGAGACATTATTTACCAAATTGCATCAAAAACGTTTTGTAATATTTTATGATAAGCATTATATTTCATAACAGCGATGAATAATTCCCGCACAGATGGGTAGGGACAAATGGTTAGCGATTAAATTGTGGTCCTCTATTGGTCAATTAGTAAGTAATTCAGCTATATATTTTCATCAAACATTCATCCTAAAACTGAACCTTGAATTTTCTAGAAAAGCTCAGTGAGTATTTCGGTAATTTTTTTCTTCTACGAAGAGGTTACACGTGAACGATGATAATGATTTTGAAAGTAAATTAGCTTTTAACGTACGTGCCATTAACAAGAAGTTTGAACAATAAAGTAAATATATAGTATGACATTACTACTCTTTTAGTAGATAAACTGGTTTTTATACCTTGGAAATAATATTTAAGTAGTTGTAAATCCCAAGGGAGTTTACAAATTTTGTCTAGGAGCGCTAAAAGAGGCAGTAATTTATCCCTAAGAATGCTTAACGATCGAATAAGTGAATACGGCTCATCTTATGAAAAACGGTAAACATATGCCTCTTTTGCATTGACGAGAGTCTAGAGTATATTTTTAGGGCTGTAAAAATGCATACAAGGTGCTACTGATTGATTATTTCTTTTAGCATGTTATTAACTTCTTATTCTATCTAACCCACCAACTCCCTTAAATAACACGATTTTTCACCACCAAACAACTTTTTTATCGTTCCACGTCTGCGACAACATGATTTCAACGGCTTACCTTGCCATGTTATGCAATCATAACTCAAAATTAAAAATTTTCATCAAAATTATGTTACAGCAATTATATTTATTCAGGATCTTAGAAATTACATTTTCAGTTTCTTGAAGAATCTAACATTTGGTGTATACTTTTATTTTCACATGTCGCCCTTCCTTTAACATATTCAGTATATAATTATTAGTTTTGAAACAAGTACACAAATCTATATGGTTTGCAAGAAACATGAGGACTCTTAGACAAAAGAATCTTTATTTACTCAACCAGCATATATATATTAAAATCCCCCGACGGACAACAGTTGTATGAATCAGTTCCAATGAAAGTAAGTGCTGAGCTTTAGGCATAAGGAAAAGCATTTGTTGACCTGGCGACCTCCAAAGTCGTCTCAACGTTGGACGCAACTAGATCACATCGCCATCAGCCACCGATGGAGGGGTTCGATAGAGGACTGTCGCTCGTTCTGGAGCACATGTCTAGATTCAGATCATGCTCTAGTGCGAGCGCGTATTTGTTTGAAGCTTACTGGGCGTAGGAAAGACACCGTAAGAAAGCCTCTTAGGGTTTTACTTAATGATAATAAGGCGAAAAATATATTTCAGGAAGAACTAGAAATACAGTTAGGCGACCACGTAAGCGATTCCCATCCGGAGGCAGGATGGAATGATATCAAAGAGTCTGTGGAAACAGCAGTGATATCTGCTAGTAAGGTTGACCATAAGGCTAGAATGAAGCCGTGGATCTCAGTAGCATCCATCGAACTGATAGAGGCTCGAAAATTCATCCCACCTGGATATGAACATGATGAAGAACGAAGTCAACTTAGGCGCAGACTGATAAAAAGCCAACGTTAACGATCGCGAACAGTGGTGGGTGGCGAAAGCAAAAGCGATGGAAAAGGCAGCGGCGATCGTCAACACTAGACAACTTTCCCGACTTATCAAGGAAACTGGTATTAGGAATCCTAGTGTAAGTGAGACTATCTCAGAAAATGACGGGACTATTATTTATTCTCAACCCAGGAGACTGGAGCGATGGGCAGAACACTTTAGGGCCTGGCCTCGAGCCACTCTTCGGTTACCTACGATCTCCAGTCATCCTGAATGGCAAATCGACCTAAGCCCCCTAGTCTTAATGAAATTGAAAAAGCGTTAGGAAATCTGAAGCAGGGGCGAGCTGCGGGTCCTGATAGACTGACCCCTGAGATATTTAAGGATGTTGGTCCAGTTTTAGCAACTAGTTTGACTGAGATCTTAGGTAGAATCTGGAACTGGACGTAATCCCATCCGACTTGTCTCAATCACTGGTTGTTCCAATCTATAAGAAAGGTCAGAAGTCTTCTTGTGACAATCACAGAGGAATAAGTCTAACTAATATAGTATCTAAAATTTTGGCCTCAATAATAATTCGGCGCTTTACGAAAGCTCGTGAAGAGCAGACTCGAGAAAACCAGGCTGGTTTTCGACCTGGACGTGGCTGTATAGTTCACATTTTCACACTACGACAGGTCCTGGAACACAGACACATATTTAGGTGTCCTACAATAGTTGTTTTCCTGGACCTAAAAGCGGCATTTGACTCAGTGGATCGTGAGGTTCTATGGCAGTGTCTGTCATTGAAAGGTGTACCAAAGAAGTACATTAACCTTATACAAGCTCTCTACTCGAACAGCACTTGTCGAGTGAGTGAGAGCATATGGCGAACTGTCATCAGAATTCTTTACCTCTTGTGGTGTCCGTCAGGGATGTCCACTTTCTCCATTCTTGTTTAATTTTATCATAGACATGCTCTTAGAAATTAACTTATCCACGCTGAATTTTCAGGAGTAGACCTACCATGTGGCTCGCTTATTGACTTAGAATATGCCGATGAGATAGTTCTACTTGGTGAAAACGCTGACAAAATGCAGAGTCTTCTGACCACCCTAAGAAACAATGCAAGCATGTTCGGGATGCGGTTTCCCCCCTCGAAATGCAAAATGTTGTTTCAAGACTGGGTTGCATCGGCACCTGAACTAGTGATAGGGAGTGAAGTAGTCGAACGTGTAGACCGCTTCACTTATCTTGGGAGTCTCATCAGTGCTGATGGCCTGGTGACTGACGAAATCTCAGCACGGATACAGAAGGCTCGATTGGCTTTTGCCAACCTGCGTCACTTATGGCGTAGGCGAGATATCCGTTTGCTGACTAAAGGACGAGTGTACTGCGCAGTGGTTCGCTCCGTCTTACTTTATGGCTGTGAAACATGGCAAGTGAGAGTAGAAGATATTCGTAGGTTACTGGTTTTCGATCATAGATGTCTTCGAAGCATTGCTCGTATATCCTGGGACACCCGAGTGAGCAACGCTGTTATTAGGAATCGGGTGCAAGGTAAGAATGGCAGATCAGAAGATGAAGTGGTGAAACTTCATCAGTTGAGGTGGTTGGGACATGTGTTACGTATGCCGAACCACCGACTGCCTCATCGAGCTTTGTTTTGTAGTGTAGGACTAGGTTGGAAGAAAGTTAGGGGCGGCCAGACCAAAACATGGCATAAATCCATGAAGTCATTGACGGGTGGACTTAGCCATGTCGGTAGTTGTCGACTACCTGGTTGGGGTCTGCGAGATGATAATAATCGATGGTTAGAGACCTTGAATGACATGGCTCAAAATCGTTCGCAATGGCGCCGGTGCATTTATTCTTTGTGTTCTCTCAAATCCTAATCTTCTGGATTCTTCAACACCTCTAGTTTTGACTTTCTAAACTTATCACATTGAATGATACTTCTTGAATAATATCTTCTAATCTTAACCTCTCCGATTACTTCTAATACCCTTACTAACTCTTCTTCTATTGGATTTGATTTGACAGTTACATCTCTGTGCTGAAGTGGTATGGCGACATGAACTGATGTACTTACGTACGAAGTTATACGTTGCAACTGACTGAAATGCTAAGCTCTCACTCGACCAGAGATGTCGAGTAGAGAGCTTGTATGACGTTATTGTACTTCTTTGGTACATCTTTTATTGACAGACACTGCAACAGAACCTCAGAATCAACATAGTCAGATGCTGCTTAAAGGACAACTACCGTCGGACGCCTTAATATGTTTCCGTGTCCAAGGACCCGGCGTAGTGTGAATATGTGGTCTATACAGCCACGTCCAGGTCTAAAACCAGCCTGCCTTTCGCTCGTGTGCTCTTCAAGTGCTCTAGTTAAGCGTTGGGATATTATCGCGGCCAATATTTCAGATACTATATTAGTTAGACTAATTACTCTGTGAGTTTCACAAGGAGACTTTTGTTCTTTCTTATAAATTGGGACAGTCAGCGATTGAGACCAGTCAGATAGGATTATGCCCAGATCCCAGATTCTACTTAAGATCTCAGTCAATCTAGCTACTAAAACTGGACCACCATACTAAGAAATCTCAGAAGCTAGAACATCACGACCAGCTAACCTCCGAGCCTGCTGATCTCCTATAGCTTTCCTAACTTCGTACAGACTCGGAGTTAAATCAATTTGCCATTAAGGATGACTGGAAATCGTGGGTAACCGAAGTGTGGCTGAAGGCCAGTTGAACTAATCCCTAAAGTTTTCTGCACATCGATTCAACCTTCTTGGTTGAGAACAAATAACAAAACCATTCTTTCCTAAGATAGCTTCGCAAACAGATGTATTACTAAGCCAGGTTACCTTAATAAGTCGGGGGAACTGTCTGTTGTTGCACATCACTCCTGACAGACAGCGACAACGCAGAACTTCGTACATAAGTACATCAGTTCAGGTTGCAATGCCCCATCAGCACAGAGACGCAACTGTCAGTTCAAATCCAAGAGTGATAGCAATGATAGAAGTATTAGCAGCAATGGAGAAGAAGACTGGATGCACCTGAGCCATTGCAAACGATTATGAGCCATGTCGTTCAATGTCTCTAACCATCGGTGACTTTCGTCTCGCGGACGCCATCCAGGTAATTGACACCTACCAACATGACTCAGTCCACTTGTTAGTGACTTCTTGGATTTCTGCGATGTTTTGGTCTGGTCGCTCCTAATTTTCTTTCAGCCGGCTCCTACACCACAAAACATAGCTCATCGCGGCAGTCGGTGGTTAGGCATACGTAACACATGTCCCAGCTACCTCAACTGATGAAGTTTCAATGCTTCATTTATTGATTTGCCATATCTACCTAGAACTCGTTTCCTAACGATAGCATTGCTTACTCAGTCGTCCCAGGATACACGAGCAATGATTCGATGACACCTATGATCGAAAACCAGTAACCTACGAATATCTTCTACTCTTTACGGCCATGTTTCGCATCCGTATAGTAGGACAGAGCGAACTGCCGTGCAATTCACTTGCCTGCGCCATAAGTGACGCAGGTTCGCAAACGCCAATCAAGCCTTCTGTATCCGTGCTAAGATTTCGTCAGTCACCAGGCCATCAGCACTGATGAGACTCCCCAGATAAGTGAAGCGGTCTACACGTTCGACTACTTCACTCCCTATCACTAGTTCAGGTCCCGATGAAACCCAATCTTGAAGCAACATTTTGCATTTTGACGGGGAAAACCGCATCCCGAACATGCTTGCATTGTTTCTTAGGGTGGTCAGAAGACTGCATTTTGTTAGCGTCTTCACCAAGT